GTTTCGTCTTCTGGAGATCTTGACGCTCTTCGAGGTTGACCCTGGGGCCTTCCTGATGTTTCTGACCAATGTGGTTTTCTTGGACAAACCGACGGGAGGGGTCAGGCCGATCGGATTGCTCTGCCTTTTCATGAAGCTCTGGAGCCGTTTGAGGCAGCCGTATTGCCGTTCATGGGAAAAGTCCCACGTGTACGAGTTTTTCTGGGGCTCTGGGCCCGACACTACGTGTGAGAGGGCTGGATGGGTCCACAACTTGCTCGGGGCTCATTGTCGTAAAGCAGGTTTCGAATCAGCGTCGGCACTCTTGGACTTGGCTAAGTTCTATGAGAATGTTAACCACGGGGACCTTCTGATTGCAGCTAAACGGTTTGGCTTTCCAGTTAGGTTGGTCAAAGCTTACTGTACCATCTATGCAGGCTACCGTGTGCTTCTTTACGGGGGAGCTTCGTCGGCCGTCGTCGAGTCGAACGGGGCGATCGTAGCCGGGTGCTCGGGGGCCACGACTTTCGCCAAGATGTTGCTTCTATGACCGCTCTTGGAGGCCCGTGAGAGCAGGAACTTGTTGTATGTGCGCAGTGTGGTGGACGACATCACTGTTCAGAGTTGCGGGCCCAAGCTTCAGGTTGCGGCCCAATTGGCTGGTGGAGTAGAGACTCTGTTCAAGAGCTTCAAGCAGCTGCAGCTTCCCGTGGGGTTTAAGAAGTGTGCCTACCTCTGTTCGAAGGAGGTTGAGGCGCACCTGTCCAAGGCCTGGTCCCTTCCCACCTCGTGCCGCACCGACACGGCGCGGAATCTTGGGACCAACGCTACCCTGGGAGGCCTCCGCAGGATTGGAATTCAAAACTCAAGGTTTGCAGGTGCTTCGCGCAGGGCCAGGAGGCTCAAGATATTGCAAGGAGCTGGAGCCGACATCGGTATGGTTCACAGGATGGGGCCCGTGGCATCGGCCCTCTGGGGATCCTCGGTCTCTGGGGTGGCCCCTACAAAAATGGCTGGGCTCCGTATTGGTGCTGCAAGTTCCCTAGGCAGGCTCCCTAAAGGTGCTTCGGTTGGGCTCAGGATGTACACGTACGGGCTCGGGGCCAAGGTAGACCCTCTGGTGGTTTATGTGGGGCACGTTCTTTTTATGTGGGCCACTGCTGTTTGGGAAGCTGTCCCTCACGTTCAGGTGTTGGCCAATACCATGAGGGTCTCGATCGCCAAGTTTCAGAATTCAGCTCAGCCTTGGAGGTCAGCGTCTTCTCCCAGCGACGTCGCGCTTTTAACGTTGCGAGGGATAGGCTGGGACTTTGTAGACCAGCACACCATCAAAGATGACTTGAATGTGGTGCACGACTTGTTCAGGCTTTCCCCGATGCAGGTCAGGACTTTGATCAGGCAAGGTGCTGTGCGAGCGTCAGATAGACATGCTCTTCACTTGCAGAATGGCCTTGATGGGCCGCCTGTGTACCCTATCTTCTGGGATGGTATTTCCAGGTTGTTCAGGGAGAAGTCTGAAGACTGGGGGAAGCACCATCAGAGATGCTTAAGAGGCTTGGTCTCGGGAGTCCATTGGCCCCAAGCTCGACTGCATGCTCACAACCTTCACGATGATGATCAGTGTCAGGTGTGCAAGGGGGCCCCAGGTACTTTGTGGCACCGTCAGTACGAGTGCCCTGCGCATGAAGTCCTGCGGCGAGACCTTGCGAGTGTTCACTTGTGCAGGTGTGCGCGGAGAGTGAAGCAGTTCGGGCCGCTGATGGCGGAGAGGTTCGCGAGGTGCATCTTTCCTCACCCTCGCTCGCTCTTCGACGTAGAGGAGCCCACGCAATCTGTTCACTGGCACGAGAGGCCCGAGACGGGGTCCTGACGGGGTTGCTCTTCCTTGACGGGTCGGCTAAATACATGGGCCTCGATGGGCTCACTCGGGCTGGTTGGAGTATCGTGTCGGTCGACAGGTTTGGGGAGTTGATCTCGGCGGCTTACGGCCCCGTTCCACTGAGTGCGGCCCCGCAGCAAACTAGTAAAGACGGGGAAGACTATGCTGTATATATGCTTACGCAAGTAGGTCTTCCCCCGTTTCAATGCTATATTGATTGCCAGAGCACTCTGGATTCGCTGGCTCGGGGCCCTGGGTTCGCGGAGGGCCCTGGAGCCCCCCGTGGTCATCTGTGGGGCCCCGTGTGGAGCTCGTTTACTCTCAGCGATTTCGAGTGTCATAAGACGCTCGGCCACGCTACTGCGGCCGACGTCGAGGCTGGCAGAAGCAGTGTTTGGGAAAGACGGGCCAATGGGCTCGCTGATATGTTCGCTAAATTAGGAGCTGAGTGTCATGGGGTCAGTGACGATGAGGCCAACTTGTACAGAGGCCTCAGGTGCCTCGCCCGCGAGGCCTGCAGGTGGGCTGGATCGGTCGAGGTGCTGATGTCCAGTGGGCCCCGTGACTCAACGGGCCTAGTGCCCAGGTCGACAGGCAGCGATGGCCAGCGGCAGCACCCACATGACGATGATGCCCACGGCCAGGCCCTGGCCGACGACCAAAGGGAGGTGGGAGGTTCTTTGGACTTGGGGGAGGAGTGGCGGCCTTTCTCTCGGCAAGTTTTTCGGGCCAACGGTCATGCGTTTTTGGCCTGCCCTGTCTTGGAACCTCCTGGAAACCCCAGGGGTAGGATCCAGTTTTGTTGTCGGTGCGGATCGTTTTTTCTCTGGGGCTCCCAATGCTGGAGCTAAAGGCCTGTGTAGGCCCAAATCGACGACGGGCGGAATTAACGACCAGCTGAGAAGGATTCGGCAGGGCAAGTTTCCGTCGTACAAGAAGGACCTGAAGAATTTAACTCTGGGGGCTCACGTGAGCCTTAGCCTCGCCGAGCGGAGGGTTTTGGCTCAGACGCTGGAGGAGGATGGCCAGGCCCCCCAGGGAGTTTCAGGTCCTGCCACTGTTGGCTTCGCGGTGGGCTTCGCCCCGCGAGAGCAGGTTTTGGATTCGTTCGGCCTTGCTGTGTCGGATTTACCCTGGGTCAAGGACCTAGGTGCCGCCTCCCTCCGAGCCTCGAACAACGGTTTCGAGTCAGACTCGGAGGCGTCCGATTTTGGCTGAACGAGGAGGTGATCTGGCTTCAGGCCCGTCCCCAACAATCCGCCTCCTCCTTCTCTTCCTCCTCCTCCTCGTTCTTCTTATGCTCCCCCTCCTCCTCCTCCTCCTCCTCCTCCTCCTTCTCCTCCTCCTCCTCCTCTTCCTCCTCCTCCTCCTCCTCCTCCTCCTCCTCCTCCTCCCCCTCCCCCTCCCCCTCCTCCTCCCCCTCCCCTCCTCCTCCTCCTCCTCCTCCTCCTCCTCCTCCCTCCTCTCCTCCTCCTCCTCCTCCTCTCTCTCCTCCTCCTCCTCCTCCTCCTCCTCCTCCTCATCCTCCTCCTCCTCTCCTCCCTCCTCCGCCTCCTCCTCCTCCTCCTCCTCCTCCTCCTCCTCCTCCTCCTCCTCCTCCTCCTCGTCCTCCCCCTCCTCTTCCCCCTCCTCCCCCTCACGTCTCGCTCCTCGTCCTCCTCCTCCTCCTCCAGGGAGAGATCGGAGGAGGTAGGAGGGGGGGCGACGAGGAGGAACGGAAGGGGGAGGGCAAGAAGGGAGGAGGATGAGGAGCAGGAGAAGGAATGAGGAGTGAGCAGCGAGGAGGGAGGAGTGAGGAGTGAGGAGTGTGGGGTGAGGAGGAGGAGGAGGAGGAGGAGGAGGAGGAGGAGGAGGAGGAGGAGGGCGGACCATGGATGAGGAGGATGCGTGAGACGTGAGGAGGAGAACGAGGAGGAGGAGAGAGGATGAGAAGGAGGAGGAGGAGGAGGAGGAGGAGGAGGGGGAGGGGGAGGAGGAGGAGGAGGAGGAGGAGGAGGAGGAGGAGGAGGAGGAGGAGGAGGAAGAGGAGGAGGAGGAAGAGGAGTGAAAGGTGGGAGGCGGGGAGGAAGGGTGGTGGAATGAGAGAGGGGACGATGGGGCAGTGGAACGGTGGAGTGGTTCATTCAGTATAAAGATATGTGGATGTTGGTGTTTGATGTTTCTCATTTGTGGTTCTGTGGTGTTGAGTCCGAGGTCGTTGTTTGTTTGGTGTTTTGTTCGGCTGCTTTTCCACCGCTCACATATGGCACGGATAGGCAATTCCTCCACAAAAGGAATCGGTGTCTAACGCCCTGACAGAGGAGTGCAGGGAGGAGGGTGGGACTTTGCCGGATGATGAAGATGAGGAGCAGAGGGGAGGATGTGGAGGATGGGGGAGTGACTCTTCAACCCCACCCCCTCCTCCTGCTTCTGGGACTCCTCTGGCACTCCTTTAGAATGAGGAAGCGACGGAAGAGACCAAGAAGGAGACGAGGGAAGAGGAGGCGGAGAAGGAGACGAAGGAAGATGAGGACGACGAGGAAACGAAGGAAAAGGAGAAGAAGGACGAGAAGGATAAAACATACCGTTGATGGCGACGGGGAGATGCGCGGGCGGAAAGGAGGACGAGACGAAGGAAGAGGAGGCGAAGGAAGAGGAGGAGAAGGAGGAGAAGGAGGAGACGAGAGAAGAGAGAAGGTGATAGGGAGAGAGAGAGAGAGAGAGAGAGAGAGAACAGAAAAAGAGAGAGAGAGAGAGAGAAAAGCGCATAGCCATGCCATCGTAAAACGCAGAACCGCGGGCGGGATTCATGCCCACAAACCCCACGAAGCCACCCAGAGTTCCCAAGGATCCCCCCATGGGACCCAATGAGCGACCACCGCCTCGTCCAGGGAGCCACCCAAGATTTTTTCTGGGCCGCGTCAAGCATGGGTGGAAACGAAACCGTCCAGGACAAATCCTGACCGCTGCTGACTGTCCGACGACAAGCCGAGGACAGTCCCCGATCACATGCTCCAGCCGCAGCCCCAATCGCAAAGGCCATCACACCGATTCACGCGAAAGGACCAACGCGATCAAGCGATCAAACGATCACTTCTGCGCATCGCGACCGACCGTCACGCGGTAGGCACACACGCAGAGTCCTTGCACCCCCCCTCGCAGCCTGCGTCGCCATGCAAGCCGCCGCTGCCCTCCAGGCTTTGCAGCACAGGCGACAGCGTGCGGGCCAGCTTGCCGGTGGGCGCCTGCATGCGCCCCACTCCTCCCTATAATCTGCTCATGTGGTTTGCTTGGGGTAGGAGAGATCAGTGGCAGCCAAGAGTGCGAGCCAAGTGGAATTCGCCAGATCGAGCGGGTCAGAGGGCCCCAACTGATCCCACCCTCCCCTCCCGCAACATCAGAATCAACTGCGGCACAGCGTGACATTGGGAGTGGAGCGCGCTCTCAACTCGCACACGGAAGGCGCTCGCGCGCGGCCCCGCTCCCGACAACGTGGCACAAAGCTGTCTACGCGGGCCGCACAGGGACGGGAGCGGCAACACTTCCAATGGGCATGGCGGGGACGAGCGATGCGCCGCGCTGACACAGCACCGGCACTCTCGCTCACGAACTGCCTGGCGCCTGGGCGGGGTCGGCATCTCGCCGGTTCCCGCGCGTCCCCGCTGCCGCTGTCGCCGTCGTGCGATGCGGCGCACGAAGGATGCGCCGTGCCAGCGCTGGAAGGCCACTTCCGACCGAAAAAAAAACGGCGAGTGACACCGAGTGCGCCGCGTCGAGGCGGGAGCGCCACTTTCCGGCGAAATCCACTTTTCGCGCGTGGCATCGATTCAGAAGCGCTTCACTTTCGCCCGCTCGCGCGTCGACGAGGCTGTGTGCGACATAAATTGTGCGCCGCGCCCCACCCGGGGGCGCCGCCGAAGCGAAGACGGCGTGTCGGCCCTTCGCGCGGGAGGTGCGCCCCCTATCGCACTCCTGCCCACGCAATCTGCAGCGCACGGGCGACGGAAGGTCCATCTCGAGGCGAAGAGCGCTGATTTTGCATTCTCTCTGAGAAATAGGACGGGGCCCCCCCCGAGCCGTCCGCTAGCGGCCAGCGAAGCAGCAGACTGGGAGCATGCACGCACGAAGAAAAAAGGAAACGGTAGCCAGGTCGAACGAGCCAGCGGCCCCGCCCACCCCCACCCACCCTCCCGCAACAGGAGAACATGTATGACGAACCAACAACACACACCCATACCCAATGGGGGGTCGGAAAGGGCTATGGGTGCGTGTTGTCGGATGGGGGTCCCCGCTCGAACGGGAGCGTTCCCTAGGGTCCGACAACCCGCACCCATACCCGTAGCCAGTCCTCCTCCCAACGACCCCCTTATGGGTATGGGTGTGTGTTGTTCGTTCGTCAATGTAGTAGCACAGTTTGGCATTGGGACAGGAAGACGTTCCCCCACTAGCGAACGCAAGGCGCTCGCGGGCGGCCCCGCTTCCGGCGGCCCGGCGAGTGGCAAAGAAACGCGGGCCACGCACGAGCGGGAGCGGAACTTCAGAGAATCCTTGCGCGGCGCTGCGGCGAGAGCACCATGTGGCCACTTCCCGAGGGGACGCACGCCCGAGGAGCGCGGCGAAGACGCAACCTGCGCCACGCCGAAAGAGCCCGGCCACTTTCACGCACAGCTTGGAGCGCCTGGGCGAGGACGGGATTCTGCACGCTCTCGCGCGTCGCCGCTGCCGCTGCGGCTTGCATGCGGCTCGGCGAGCGTAAGCATGCGCCGTGCCCGCGCGAGGACGCCGCTTCCAGGCGAATTTCTGCACGGAGCCTGGGCGAGGGCGACACGAGCACGCTCGGGCGACATCTGCACGGCGAGGAGGCGAGAGCGACGTTCTCGACGAGCTTGACAGCAAAGACGGTGCGCCGCGCCCCCGCGGGAGCTGAAAGTGCTCGGGGAACGTGAGCGCGGTGCGCCCCGTCTGGTTCCAGCCACGCATCTCGCAGCGTCGACGCCTTTTTTGGGGGGGTTTCCACGACGCTCGGAGGCACACGGAACAGTCGCCAGCCTGCTGTGAGCAAAGCAGCTGGCCGTACCTAAGAGAGCAAAAATCACTCCAAGGTAAGAGCTTCAGCGTCGACACCAGGACGTCCACGCTGAAGCAAAAGACGTCTTCCTTGTGCTGGTTTGTCCAGGATTGGGCTCTGCCCGATGGAGTCTGATCCGCTCGTGGAAAACACCGACGGGTGCGGGGCCCCTCGTCGGAGGCGGCCCTCGGCGGTCCTCGGGGGGGGGGCCCGGGGTTACCCAGGGCCGGGGCCGCCCGATGCCAGGCAACGAAACGCCATGCCAAGCAACGCCAAGCAGTGCTGAGAAATATCCAGGCAATGCCATGCCAAACCAGGCCAAGCAATGCCAAACGATACCAAGCAATGTCGAGCAACCTCTAGCAAGCCTCGTGCGCGCTCGCCGCACCCCATAGCTTGCACCGCACAGCTTGCACCGCCAAGATTGATTCTCCTTTCGAATAGGTTAATAGATTCTACCCCCCTCCCCCCCCTGGACTTATCGGTTCCCCCTGGGATAATATGATTTCATATATATATATATATATACATATATATTTATACATATATATATATACACTGCACACTCGTCCATCCTAAATATGAAATCATACCATCCCAACCAAACCGGGGTCCCCCCCTGAGGTTCCCTTGTCCCTTGTAAAAAAACACTATGCGGCGACATGTGTTGCTCTGACATAAGACATGTTCGCGAATCCCTTGCAAAAATGAGACGAAGTGCACACGCGAGCGTCGTCGCGCGCGCATGCCGAAATCCTTCAAAAACCTTCGGTTCCGGAGAGATTTCCAAATTGAATTTCCAAAAAAACATACAAAAACACAGGGTGTCGCAACACTGATGCGCTAAAAAAGCTTACGCGCGAGCTCTTGCGAAATCTTAAGAAAACCATAGGTTTTTCAAGATTTTCACAAAATGCTACCAAACGGGCCTCGCGCGCGCGCATGTCGAAATCTGTCGAACGCCCTTGCGCGTGTGCCGTCGCGAGAACCCTATGCAAAAAAAACGAAGTGCAGACGCGCGCGTCGTCGCGCGCGTATGCCGAAATCCTTCAAAAACCCTCGGTTTCGGAAGGATTTCAAAATCGTGTGTCCAAAAAACTTACAACAACACCAGGTTTCGCAACACGGATTTTCAACAAAAGCGTGCGCGCGCGCTCTTGCGTCGTCGTCGTCGTCCTCCCTCCTCCCTCGTCGTCGTCGTCGTCGTCGTGGTCGTCGTCGTCGTCGCCGTCGTCGTCCTCTGTCTTTCCTCGTCGTCGTCGTCGTCGTCGTCTTGGCGTCGTCGTCGCTTCCGTCGTCGTTGTCGCCGTGGTCGTCCTTCCTCGCTCGTCGTCTTCGTCGGCGTTTCGTCGTTGTCCCTCCTATTTCGTGGCCGTCGTCGTCGTCGCCGTCGTCGTCGTCGTCGTCGTCGTCTTCACTCCTCCCTCGTCGTTATCCTCCTCCCTCGTGGTCGTCTCGTCGTCCGTCGTCGGCGTCTCGTCGTCGTCCCTCCTATTTCGTCGCCGTCGTCGTCGTCTTCGTCGTCGTTGTCGTCGTTGTCTTCCCTCCTTCCTCGTCGTTGTCGTCGTCGGCGTCGCCGTCCTTCCTCCTTCTTCGTCGTTCGCGTCGTCGCCGTCTTCCCTCCTCCATCGTCGTTGTCCTCGTTGTCGCCGTCGTCGTCCTCCCTCCTCCCTCGTCGTCGTCTTCGTTGGCGACGCCGTCGTCGTCTTCGTCGTCGTCGGCGTCGGCGTCGTCGTCTTCGTCGACGTCGACGTCAGCGGTGTCGTCGTAGTCGGTGTCAGCGGCGCCGTCGTCGTCGTTGTCGCTGTCGTCGTCGGCGTCGGTGTCGTGGCCAAGTGCCATGTGGTACCTACCGTCACGGTCTTGTCTTAAGAAGTCTTGCGACCAAGTTGCGGGTGGGAGGGTGGGATGTTTGCACGAGCAACGAAGAGGACAGCTTCAAGACGGTCAAAGTGATTTCACGACGTAGATTCCACCACATAACTTGAAAATCTAAAATGCACGAACTCACTGTTCAAATTCCATTCCATGCTAGCAAACACTTTGGACTAACAAGTAAGTGGGAGAAAACGAAAATGTCTGCGTGCACTGCATTGGTGCTAATTCCACCCCGACTCCCTGGAACCAGGACCTCCCCCTCCGAAAATCCTCCCCTCCTTCCGAACCGGGACCCCCTCCCTTCCCTGGCGAGAACCCACCCCCACCCCTTAACCCCCCCACCCCCTGAAACTGAAAGTCGGAACGGAGGCAAACCCCCAGCCCCCACCCAGCCAATGGCAATCGACGTCAACGACGAAAGCGACGGGAGGACGGGCGGGCTGGGTGGACGTTCACTGTAACCCTCATTCGTCCATTCGGCGACAATTGCGCAAAACATGCAGTAACCACAGACGACGACAACGACGACCATGGGCGGAACGTTCAGTCAGGCGGGCGGGCGGAACACTACATGGAAACCGCACTGGTTGACGTGACACGGTTGGGGGAGATTTTTTAACAACCGCCCACGAAGGCGGCGGCGACGACGACGAGCAACCGCGGACGGCACGTTCACTCGGGCAGGCAGGCGGGACATTGAATGTATTACTCACTGGTTGATGGGACGTTTGCCAGCGTGGACCCCAAACAATGAGTTTACGCACACTGGTGGTGGAAGCTATGTGGTGGAAGCCATGTGGTAGAGGTTACGCGGTGGAAGCTATGTGGTGCAAGCTACTAATATGTGATGGCAGATGTATGGTGGATGCTATGTGGCGGAAGCCATGTGGCAACGCTTCGCGGCCACAGAACTGCTGACAGAAAGCTGGTCCCCACCAAGTGGGACCAGCTTTCCGTATTGTTGACGCTTCGCGCATTCCTAATGGATGCGGGAGCGCACGGGGCGGCAACGAGGCGGCAACGGGCCGGAACATGGCAAATACTCGGCGCACCCACACGAGCGGCAGAAGGCGGCGAGAGGCGGCAACGGACCAGAACGTTGCGAATCCGCGACGCACCCGGCCAAACGGCAGCGGGCGGCAACAATTAGGTCGGGCAGGTCCTCCTGCTGGCGGATTTTGGAAGAGAACTTGGAAAGAGACTGAAAAATATCATGTTCGCCAGCTTGGACCCCAAACACCAGGTTCTTTCAGCTTGATGTGGCGCAATATATGTGATGTACGCTACGTGGTGCGGTCT